GTTATGACATACCCAGGTACACAGAGCAGTGGTGGTTGCCAAACTCAGTGTGAGCAAAAGCACCTGCCTAGTATTGGGTAAACTTGGAGACCTGTTGGCCCTGGGGTTCTCTGCCCCTGTGAGGCAGTAAAGATTCTCAGGGTGAACTTGACCCAGAGCTGACTGGACAGAAGACATGGGAAATGATTGAAACAACTGATCACCTCCTCTGGTACTACCTTTTCTTCAGGGAGTGCGGAGGACAGTAACCGTACTCCTCCTGATGGTGACAGGGGCAAGCCCCTGACCAGACAGGCAGTGCTGTTTGGTTACTCGACCAAGCAGCAGGGAACCCTGATAGCCCATTTTGACCAATTCATCTCCTGCTTCAAGAACGTCCTGTGGAAGACCAGAAACCAGTTCACAAACAGACACAAGAACCTGTCAAGAGAGGACTGTGCCAAAATGGGGCTGAGTGGGTATTACAGAAAGACAGTTGAAGAGATGGGGAAGAGATGGTAGAGATAATATTGAAGAGAAAGCACTGGCACAGACTGTTTAGAGGGGGGACCGCCACTGGAGAAGATGACAATGAGAACACTGATGATGATGAAAATGATGAATAAAAGGACTGGGGAAACAAACAGACAGGGAATTTGGAAGTGGGGTGGGGGAAAAGAAGTGGGTAACCAGATGGTGCTTTGTGTGATTGTGATGGTTAAAGGTGATGGTGATGGGCACATGGATGCGTGGGCATGTGGGAGCACAGTGCGGTTATTGTAATGGGAATGAGACTGGTGTAAATGTAAAAGAATGTTTTGGACTGTCAAGTGAACTATATCACTCGTGAGACAGGTTTGTCAAGGTGTGTGCGTATTTTTTTATTTATATATAGAAATAAATATTTTTGGAAAAAAAAAGTTTGTACTATATATAAGTAGGCACAAAAATGCAGCTTAGTGGTATGTTTATGAAGTACCTGTGATAAAACCTGTAGCATTTTCAAAAAAGATAAATGCATCAATTCAGGATGAACCAAATTAGTATAGGTTTGTTTATTCCAAGGTCAATTTTTTTCAAATTTTCCCCTTATTTCTATGTGCAGATTTATTTTCCCTGTTATACAGTGGAAGGGGGACAAATTCAAGGGAAATGTCCATTAATTAGGTTTTATACCTGGAAAATTATAATAAATTTAAAATATTTGCATATATAGAATCTAATGATTGGGGGTTATTTTATATCCAGGGTTGTATTACATTTGAGGAAATAAGGTGATTATTTCTTGCTTCAAAGTAGGACTTGTTTCCTTTGCAATGTTTCTTTTCACCCCCTAATTTCTCACAAAAGGAAATTAAATGCTGTATATTTCTCTGAAGTAATATGAACCCTCAAAAAATTCAGATCAATATTTCTATCGTCTATACTTATGAAGAGTATTGACATTTGCTTCTGTTTTGCACCAAGTATCTACTTTTCCAAGGTATTGTATTGTTAGTAAAGTGAGTTTAAAAATTCAAGCAAAAGCAAAAGCCATTTATATGCATTTACACAGATGAAGTTATATCCATGGAGTACAGCAGATGAAAATGAGGATCCAAATTTCTATATACCAATTCAGTGCCCACTGAAATCAATGGGAGTGTTTCCCCCTACTCTTTTTGAGTAGGCCTTATTACATAAGAGGCCAAAGGAGTGAAGTGAAAGGTATGAGTTGTTTGGTGGCCTCCAAACACATTTTGGATTTGGCAGTCTTTTAACATACAATTAGCCATAAATGGTAGGCACAGATGTGCATATAAAAAGAGAATAGAAACCAGGGCACTAATCTAGCAAAACATGTAAGCATGTGCTAAAATGTAAGTATGTATGTTATCACATTCATTAACATACACTTATTCTGTTGTCTTGCAGCATTATCTCCTTGCTGGTTAAAAGTAAATTCAGATAAATATCACAACAACATGCTGACATTTAGTAATGACTAGGACAGCCAGGTGAGATATTTTTGTGTGTCCTCCTTATTTACATAGCCTATACATTTCACTCAAGAGTGTCCACTCACTAAATTGATGCTACTGATTTTTGTAAACTGGCATAGTCACCACCCCACTCAAAGAAAAGCTGGATGCTCATTTCGGAGTCAAAGGGTCACCCAGTTGCAGGTTTTATTTTGAGGAACAGATAATCCATAATGACAGTGCACAAATGCAGAAGTTTCTGCCTGGCCAAATCTGACAGTCTTAAATGTTCTGGTGAGGATTATATTCATGGCAGAAGATAATAAGTCACGCTGCCCCAGAGAGTCATCAGTCATTAATTTGCAGCTCCTTTCAGAGCTCCAGGACCTGTAAGCTGGCAATGCGCTGCACAAAAAACTTGCTATTCTGTGACACCGCTCTAAATGCAACGTCAAGGCTTTAAATAGTACAGAACACATTATTAAAACTGGACTTGGATTCTCCACAATTACAAGTAGAGGGTTTCCTGATCCACCTTCTGGTGATGGGAGAAGGACATGCTTAGATATTTCTCTACCCAAGGACCCACCAAGGAACAGGAAATTTTAGAACACTTTCCTCTGTTTTGTTTTGGGGAGGAGAGAAGAACTGTCCCCGAATTGATCAGGAGGCAGAAGAAAGGTCCCTATAATTTCTTGGCTCAGGCTCCTTCCTCTGTATGACAAACCTTGTCTTAAAACAGGGCTATCTAACTTTGATGTGACTGGGGACTGCATGCGGTGCTGGTGGGCAGTAGGGCTGTGCGAAGCTTTGGTCCCTGATTCGATTTGGCAGAGATCTGGCCCGATTCAGTGGCCAAATCTCCGAATCGAATCAGAGGACCCTTTAATCTCACTGAATCAAATTGGAACCCTCTGAATTGATTTGGAGAGATTCAGAAAGATTCAGAGATTTGGACATAGATGCAGCTTTAAAAGTTTTTTTCTACATACCTCAAGGTAGCAGGCAGCTCATCAACGCTGCGATGGTGGGGTGGATGGAGCAACCCACAGGAGCGCGGGGTATGGGGGTCCCCAGCGTGCTTGGCAGCAGACCTGGAAGTGGATCAGAAGCAACTGGTGCCTCCTGGGTCTGGGGGGGCACCTGGGGTCCCCCCGTGGCTGATTACTGAGCCAGGAAGGGGCAGGAATCAATTC